CTTCCAAGCCACAGTGATTGCACCCTCGCTTTCTTAGGGTTCTGCAACATTTGGCCACACCCCAAGAGTTCCTGTCCCTCCTAAGGGCAAGGGGAAGCTTAGCAGAGCAGTTAGGAATGCAAGCAGCGGGGCGCATGTGTCTCTTGCCTGGGCCAAGTCATTAACCTCCCCACGCCTCATTTTCATTGTCTGGAAAATGGGAACAATGGTAGGTACTTTAGTCTACATCATTGGTTGCTTCTACTGCCAAATATTAAGAACAAAAGACGTAACTAATACATTCAAAGCATTCAGTAGATATTAGGTAAAGTTATCATCACCCAGCCACGACCATGGAGTTCATTTCCGCAACTTTGGCACCTTGTTCTTCATACTGAACCTCTCTGGCCGATTCCCAGAGGCTCAAGGGCACCGTCTTCAAGATGTCACTCAATATGTCACGTCCCCCCCCAAGTTACTCCTCTCCCTTGTGCACTGGTTTAATACCGCTTCCTACAGCTGCACAGAGTTGTGTACAATTATTTAGTTATTAACTGAGACACAGTCCACTACGCAGTTCCGACTGCTCTTGAACTCACCGTGCAACCCAGCCTGGCCTCAAGCTCATGGAGATTCTCCTGCCTCTGCCTTCTGAGTGTTGGGGGAGCTCAGGGTTTTTTTTTTGTTTTTGTTTTTGTTTTGCAGAACAGGGGATTGAATTCAGGCCCTTATGCTTGCCAGGCAAGCACTTATTCTACTGAGCTATCTCCCTGGCCCCTCTGAGTGTTGGGATTACAGGTGTGCACCACCATGTCTAGCTACGGTATTAATTTTTAAAATTGACTTTTTTTTTTTTTTTTTCCAGAACTGGGGATTGAACACACTCAGGCCCTTGCGCTTGCCAGGGAAGCGCTTACTCCGCTGAGCCATCTCCCCGGCTCCCCCCCCTTTTTTTTGAGAGAGAGAAGGTCTTGCTATGTAGATCAGGCTGACCTGGACTCACTAAACAGTACAGGCTGGTCTCAAACTCAAGGCAGTCCTCCTGCCTCAGCCTGCCACATGCTGGGATCTAGGCATGTACCACCATGACCAGCTTTAAAATTGATTTCTGTGCGTGTCTCTGCACAGGCATGTTAGCATAAGCGACGTGCTATATTTTCTTGTATGTTCTATTTCTGCTCATTTTGCAGAGCTTTGCCTGTTGAATTTAATGGAAAATTTATGTTACTCCATACAACACGGTATAGGACTTGTTTTTGGTTTATATATTCAAAAAAGGTTGATGATACTAAAATAGATCTGAAAATATTCTTAGTCCTTTGACTCTAGGCTCATTCCTTTCATGTAACGAGCCATATGTAATGAGTCATGCCCCCAGCCTAGTTTTATTTTTCATTCATTTCTCAAGACAGGGTCTTGCTATGTAGTCCAAGCTGGCCTTGAACTCACTCTGTAGTTCACAGTGATCTTGCCGCAATCTTCCCGCATCCCGAATGCTGGGATTACAGGCATGTGCCAACAAGCCCAGCTTGAATTGTATACATTTTTCTTTTTTCTTTTTTCAATTATCATTCTTTTATTTATTTGGTACAAGGTCCCGCTACCCAGCTTGGACGCTTAGTGATCCTCCTGTCTCAGCCTCCCAGCACTGTATACATTTTTCTATTCTTGTCTCCTGCACCTGAACTCTGAGCCGGCGGGGCGAGGGCCAGGTCGCACTGCGGTATAATCCTCACCTGTGGGCCCGCCCAGTGCCTGGTTTAGAAGGCATTTACTACAGCTCTGCTGAACAAAAAGACCTTTGTCCCTGACCTCACAGGACCCGACAGACTTTGTTTGTAGAGCGTTATATCCTTGGCAGCTTCAGACCATGTCTTTCTCATCTTTGTGTCAGAGAAGCAAATACAAATCTATACAGCAGACAAAACAAACATACACAAATGTACCCAAGTACACACAGCTCCAAGCAACCTTCTTAGATCAAGGCTACGGTGACAAGTTAAAATCTTTCCATTTGTGCATTTGGTTTTTGAGACAGGGTGTCAATGTGTAGCTTAAGATAGTCTTAAACTCACTATGGAGTCCAATGTGGCCTCAAATTTGCAAGGATCCTCCTGCCTCCTAAATCTTGAGATTACCCAGGCCAACATGCCTGGCTTTCAGAACCTTTCTTATAGAGTAGTGCCTGCGAGACTCTGAAAGGGAAGGACTAAGTGGGAAAACGTGAGCCTTCCCACTAGCCTAGTCACCGGAAGGCACTTGGGGAAGACGGCAAACCCTTCAATTTGCGCTTGCAAAATCATACCAGTCTCGATTCCCACCAGGGCCAAGGCACTGTGAGCCAAGACACGAGAGCTCCTTTCTTCCCGATGCTAATAAAGAGCTAATTCTTATGATACAACTTTTTATTGCAGCATGTCTTATTGATATATATATTTTTTTTTCTGAAGAGTGCGTCTTGCCATGTGGTTTGGCTGGCCTTGGGCTCACTATGCAGCCCAGCCTGCATGGCCTCCGAATCATGGCAGTCCTCCTGTCTCAGCCTCCTGAGGGCCAGGATTATAGGCCTGTGCCACCACACTGAGCAAACTGTCCTTTAATGCCATTCTGTACCAATGACTCAAAATTGCTTTCAATTCTAGTAGACTCTCCTTTGGCCTACAAGTAAGTGGCAAGGGAGTAACAGTCCGACAGGTATAAGAACATTTCAAAGCCAGGCGTGGTGGCACACGCCTGTAACCCCAGCACACTCGGGAGGTCGAGGCAGGAGAATCGTTGTGAGTTTGAGGTCAGCCTGCTATACAAAGTGAGCTCAAGGCAAGCCTGGATTGCAGAGTGAGACCCTATCTCAAAAAGATGGAAAAAAAATCAAAGAACATTTCAGCCAAGTATAACATTTCTCATTCTAACTCACAAGTTCATTTTATACACATTTTTTTTGTTTTGTTTTGTTTTGTTATGTGTTTTTGTTTTTCAGACAATATCTTAATATGGGGATAGGGAGATAGCTCAGTAGAATAAGTGCTTGCTTGGCAAGTGCAAGGGCCTGAGTTCAATCCCCAGTTCCACAAAACACAACAAAAAAACCAAAACAAAACAAAAGTTCAATATATAGTTCAGGCTGGCCTTGAACTCACTGTGTAGCCCAGGTTGGTCTTGAACTTGTGAAAAATTCTCCTGCCTCAGCCTCCTGAGTGCTGATATGACAGGTATGCTCCACCTTGCCTGGTTGTACTGGTTCACTTTTTAAAAAGTTTTTTTTTTTTCTTTTGTATTTTAGGGAAGGATCTACAGGGTGTTCAGGATCTCACTACTAGATTGGACTCGTAGTGATTCTCCTGTTTACAGCATCCCAAGTGCTGGGATTACAGGCATGTGCCACCATGCCCAGTCTCATTTGTCATTTTAGCATGTCTTGGGAAAGAGGCAAAGCAGGCCTGGGGATCAAAGCCCCAGCCTCTGAGCCTGCTTACAGGCACTTTAATCCGCTGAGTTATTTAGCAAACCCTTTGTGTGTGTGTGTGTGTGTGTGTGTCTGTGTGTGTGTGTCTGTACAGGGTCTCACTAGGCAGTTTGGACTCACACTGATCCTCCTGTTTACAGCCTGGACTTGATGTCCTGGGGGGCAGGGCTGGCATGGCATGTGGTGCCAGGGATTGAACTCCGGTCCCTGTGCTTACCTAAGCAGGTGTTTAGTCCACTGAGCTATCTCACTAGCCCTTAAAAAGTGTTTTGAATTAAAAATAATGTGTAAAAGAAACAAAAAAAAATAATGCAGATGACCTAGGCATGGTGTTATCTGCTTACAATCCCAGCACTTGGGAGGCTGAGGCAGGATGATCACCACGAGTTTGAAGGCAGACTGAGCTCTCCAGTGACGCCAAGGCCCACCTCAAATATGAATATTTACTGATGTTAGACTATAGTATAAGTAGAAAAATAATTACAAAATAAAATCTTTTTTTTTTTTTTTTTTTGTATTTTAGGGAAGGGTCTACAGGGTTTTCAGGGTCTCACTACTAGATCAGATTTGTAGTGGTCTGTCTGTTTACAGCCTCCCAAGAGCTGGGATTACAGGTGCGCACCACCATGCTCAGTCTCATAAAATCTTTTTATTTTATTTATTTATTTATTTACATTTTTTGTGTGTGTGTGTGTGTGTGTGTGTGGCCAGCTCAGCCCACCAGGGGGCGGGACTGGCTGGCATGTGGTGCTGGGGGATTGAACTGCGGGGTCCCTGTGCTTTGCTGAGCTTGTTCCAAGTAGGTGCTTTAGACCACTGAGCCATCTCTCCAGCCCATAAAATCTTTTTAAAAAATACAAATATATTACATATCCACATGTGTATGTGATCCAAAAGAACATAGTCTAAGGATCTTTCTGGTTGTGTAAGTATGTAGGGTTCGAACCAGACCGGACTCTCCCAGCCCCCAACGGGCTGGCCAGCAGGAGCACTGCTGTCTGCAGGGAACTCAGCTCAGCACCTGAGGCTGTCATCCACAAGCGTGGGAACAGACGATAAGATAGGACAAGGAGTTCTGCAGGTCCTGGGGCCATCTGGAGACTCCGGCACATCTGGAAGATTTACCCTGTCCACTTCGAGCACTCTGCCCCAGAGGCGTAAGGCTGCTGGGGACCTCTGCCTCCAGATGTTCACAGGGACTGCCTGCCCAGTGTGCCCCGCCCGCCCTCTCCCATCTCTGTAAAGGGACACGCGTCTCTCTGTTGGGGCAGTGGGTCTCACCACACTTCTGCCTGCACTGAGGCCCAACAAGTCGCACGCCACACTGCCTTTCCACAAGCTTGGTGGTCTCGGCTGGCTCATCCCGCCCCCCTGTTACAATTAGGGGCCTTTTAAACTTCTGGTTTTGTTTCTTGTCTTTAGTTTTCTACTGTGAACTTACATGGCTTGCATAAAACAATGAAATAATTATTTTAAGTAAAAACATACTTTTTATCATAAACTTGGGAATGGTTATTTAAAAAAAATTAGGACTTTTTTGTCATTTAAGTTTACTTACCAAGAGATTCTCTCCTGCCACTCCTCTGTTATTAAAAACCACACATCTAAAAAAAAAAAAAAAAAAAAAAGCACACATAAAAATTGAGAAAGTGAAGTGATTTCTACACATGATCCCTGGTTACAATGTACTATATAATGACCTTTTTCACACTGAGGCACAACAAAGGACTTAAAAAATTTGGTCTATAGACCTGATAATACTCGACAACTTCATTTTCATGCACTAAAAACAATTCCCATTGCTTAAATTCAACACGGTGATTCAAATCAGAGAGCTGTATATTGAAGTGAGTGAATTCTTCCTGCCAAAACCTCAGAAGTTTTACGACTCCCCTCTCGGCACCAGTTGGGCCCTCTGGGGAGCAGCCGGTAACAATTCCATCGCAGGCCGACTTCTGCGCTTTGCTTCAGGTATGTGCTCCAGCCACGGCGCAGGCACAGTGTTATGTTCAGGAACTGCCCTGCATCTGGAAGCTCAGTACACAGGGGCCCCACTGTGCCCGCTGCTCCCGGTGGAGGTGACCCAAGGTGACCTGAGGGTCACAGGTGCTTTTGGCCATCTTGTTTGCATCTCCTGGGCAAACGTGTGATCTAAAGGCTTTGATCACTGTGAGCCCTCCGCCTGTGGCAATGACAGGCAGTCACGGCCTCAAAGTTGCTTTGAATTGCCATTCTCTGCTTAAGGGTGGTTAGCTCTCCTGAAGGTTCAGAGCAGCATTCTGCACCTGTATATTGTGCCATTCTTGGACACAATCCTGCCTAAGGTCTAGAAAGGTTCTCATTGATTTCCTGAGTGTACACAGTTTGTGTTCAGTTTGCGCTCCTCTGTTTACCTATCCGATCAGTCAGGACTTCAGGACTCAGGTTCTGTCTGGGCAGGGGGCTGCTGACCATGGTGCAGGTGCGGAGGACCAATGAGCTCACCACCCTGCAGAACTGGCCACTCTGACCACTCTCTGGGCTCACATTGCATGGCCCCTGTCAGTGTGTACTCAGGATGTGTTTTTGCAAAGGAATTTTTTTCTTTTTCTTTTTTTTTTTAATACTTAGTACAGGGTCTCACTACCTGGATCGGAGTCGTAGTGATCCTCCTGCTTTCAGCCTCCCAAGCGCTGGGATTACAGGTACTTGCCACTACGCCCACTCTAGGTGTGCCCCGAGGGCAGGGCCAGCGCAGCATGCTGGGGACCTAACCCTGGTCCCTGCGTCTGCCTCAGCAGGTACTCTAGTCCGTTGAGCTTGCTGGTTGGCTCGTCAGTGACCAGCTGTTTCATAAGACCCAATTTTTTGCTTGGGTCTGAAATACCATAGAGAAGGAAAAAATGTTTTTTTTTTTTGTTGTCATGGTTGTTTTGTTTTTTTGAGACTGAGTCTTACTATGTAGATAAGGATGGCCTCAAACTCATGATTCTTCTATCTCAGCCTCCCAAGTGCTGAGATTCTAGGCTGCTAGGATCCCTGACCCATATAGAGAATCTTTTATTATCTAGCTAAAAGAATTTTTTACATTTATCTATTTATTTGGTACAGGGTCTCCCCACATAGCTCAGACTTGTAGTAATCCTCCTGCCTCAGCCTCCCCAGTGCTGGGATTATAGACATGTGCTACTATGCCCAGTTTAGGTGGCTGGTTTGGCACCTAGGGCTGGCATGGCATGCGGTACCAAGGATTGAACCCAGGTCCTTCCACTGCCAGGCAGGTGCTTAGACCATTGAGCTATCTCCCCAGCCTGAAGAAATACTTTTTAAAAAAATCTCGAAATATAATTTTGAGATTAAAATCTCAAAAAATCTAGACCTAGGCATGGTAGTGCACACCTGTAATCCCAGCACTCAGGATGCTGAGGCAGGAGGATTGCTGTGAGTTTGAGGCCAGCCTGGGCCACATAGTAAGACTTTGTCTAAAAAAAAAAAATCTAGAAATATGATACTTTATTGAGTCACTTAAGAGACATTTTCAGGCTAAAACTGCATGTATGATCCTGGGGACTAAACTAAGCCTTGAACTGCTGATCTACATCCTCAACCTTTTTAAAAAATCTGAGACAGTCTGGCCAAAGTTGCCAAGCTGGGTTCAAACTTGTGATCCTCCTGCCTCAGCCTCTAGAGAGTAGCTGAAGCTACAGATGCATACCCCCACCCTGCCTAAAATCATGCTTTGATTTTTTTTTTTTCCTAAAAAGAATGGCAAGGGCTGGGGAGATAGCTCTGTAGTTTAAGCCCCTGCCTGGCAAGTACAAGGACCTGGGTTTGATCCCCTACACTACACGCCGCTCCCCAGTGCCTGCCACCAAAACCAGGCGTGGTGGCTCATGCCTGTCATCCCAGCGCTTGGTGGCTGAGACAGGAGGATAACTACAAGTCTGAGCTGCAAGTAGTGAGATCCTGCACCAAAACATAAAAAAAAAAGAAGAAGAATATTAAAAAGAATGGCAAGACAGCCTAGATACTAATAAACTTTAATGTGGCCGCCTGTATGCCCTGGCATAAGCGCCCAAGTCACACAGGAATGGGGGCTCTAGGGGGTTGTGGCATTGAACACCAGTGCCTTCTGAGGTAAGAATCACTTTTAGGGCATAAACAGTAAATTAGGGTTAAAAAGGCTTTGGCGCCCCAGGTCTTCGTGTGACTGCCCTTTGAGAATGCAACAGAGCTAGCGAGGGAAAGGAAAAGACGAACCAGCTGCAAGACCCTGAAAGGCAGCGCAGGCGCGTGGAATTCTGCTCCAAACTGCAGCCCGGTAATCTTCTGTGCTTCCTTTTCACTAGTCTGGGAAGTGGATCAGAGTTCTGGCGGCTCTTGCTGGAGGAAGGCCCGCCCAGGAGGCTCTGGGCGCCGCTCCCCAGGGTCCAATCTCCGGCTGCTGCTGCAGCGCATGCGCTGAGGGGGAAGGCGGCCCGCGGGACCGCACCGCCCAGGGCTGGACGGTGGATGCCATCGGCTGGGGACAGCAAGCAGTCTGCTCCCCTGACAGTCATCCGACACAGACCTACAGGCCTGTTCCTAAGCCACTGCTGAGCCTCGGTGAGGGCATGGAACAGCCATCCAAGGGCCTCGAAGGCTCGGAGCTGAGACGAGAAAACTTGGTCTTGAAAACTGATTTTTTGCCCCCTATATATTTTAGCTGTTTAAATGTTCTAATCAGAATTTTAAAAAGTAGAAATAAAGATAACAAATAGCAAAGCGCAAACTTGGTATGAAGAGCTTTCTGCAACAGAAGTTGTTAGCCAGCAGCTGTGGTTTTGAGATGGATTGAGTATGACCCCTAAGGGCTCGGGTAGTGAAATTTAATCCCCTGTGTGAGGTAGGAATACGCTAGAAACTTAGTTCTGGTGTCTTATTTACTTATTTTTGGTTTTCTGATAGAGGATCTCACTTTGTTGCCCAGGCTGCCCTCGAATTCATGGGGATCCTCCTGCCTCAGCCTCCTGAGTGCTGGGGTTTCAGGTACATGTCACCACACATGGTTCCATCTGCTGGTTTCCAGCTGGGGACTCTGGAAGGTGAGGAGGACTAGATAGGGTGGAGCTTCCGCCCTTGAACATCATGGCTTTCTGAGGGGGAGATGGGCTGGGGTATAGCCCAGTCGCCGAGGCAGGACGAGGTACTGGGTCCTGTCCAGGTGCCACAGGGGCTGAGAAGAGAACCACGCCACGTGCCCCCATGCCCCATCTCTTCCTCTCTGCTCTACACCCAGCCTCAGATGCTGCATGACAGCCATGCAAAATGGGGCAGTTGCTAAATGCAGAGCTGAAAGCTGCCCTCACGTGGCTCCTCCGTCACTTTGCTGTCGAGCCGCCCGATGCACCCCGACGTCCCCCGATTCTCTGGCCTCTACTCGACCCTGGCATGAAAAGCAGCACTGACTATGAGCTGCGCAGAGCCCCAAGAATGCAGGTAGGCTTTCCCAGGGCCCAGGGGCCCAGACTATGCCTGGAACCCAGGAAGAGCACAGAGGGCGCAGGGCTGGGGCCTCTACAGGCCTCACTTCAGGTCTGTGTGAGGGGGGCGAGTGGGGTGTGATGGCGCCCAAGTGATCCCAGCAGCCGGGAGGCTGAGGCAGGAGGATTTCCAGCCTGGGCTACACAGCCAGACCCTGTCTCAGAAAAACTGAGAAAATGAAATAAATAAAATGTATTGGGGATTTTATCAAACACTGTTAAATATTTTCCAGTTTTAGGTTTCCTCAAGGGTCTATATCTAATGATAGAAATAGAAATAACCAGAAAATGGTAGGGACATAGGAGCATGCAGGGCTCAGCTACTTATACTTCTCTGAATGCTGGTAACAGTGAGCACAGGACATGCGCTTTTGCTCAGGACAGGCCAGATTGTGTTCCAAGCCCTTCCTGGGATACTCGAACGGCCATTTACTCCAAACAGCCCTAACCAGAACATTCACCGAACTGCAGCAAGGAAAGAAAGCAAGAACTAGGTTCCCAGGCCCAGGACAGCACCAGTGGGTCATCAACAGGGGTGGTGTGGGCCTCGACATCCCCTGAGGGGTGTAGACAGCTAAGCCCTTTGGGTCAGGATGGGCCAAGGTCCTCAGGAGAGGTTCTGTGGAAAAGGAGAGAAATCTTACGGGGAGACGTGAAAAATGGTGAGGTTTTCAGCAGCAGGTTTCCTAGAGCAGTGGGGTGCTTTAGGAGGGGGCAGGACGGCAACGGTATGAGCATGTGTGGTGCTTAAGGGGCGAAAGTAAAGGTCACCTTAGCTGAGAAGCCACTATATAGACCACATTAACACGGCACACAGGCACTGGGACAAGGACGCGCTGTCCTAGGGAGGTCGAGGTGGGTGCTGTGGGCCTGCCTTCTGCAGAGCAGAAACTGCAAATTCGACCAAGTAGAAAGGTGAGAGCGAGACACAAAAGCAGCAGACAGAAACCACACACACCTAACCACAAGGAGGAGGAAACAGCACTGATTTCACATACACATTTTGTCTTTTTGAGAGAGGGCCTTGCTATGCAGCTCAGGCTGTTCTTTATCTCACTTTGTAGCCCAGGCTGGTCTCAAACTCGCAACAATCCTCCTGCCTC